TCGGGGCAACAAATCGCATCATGTGCCCAAGTAAAAGCGGGTCGTTATTGTCTTACTGTAGTCGATGCGAATCAAAAATTTATAATAATAGTTATTGATTCTGATGGTAAAAAAGGCGTCGCAGGTATATTTATGAAATCTAATTTATTCGTAAAAATTTCAAAATGGGCATCTAAAGTTTCCCCCTTCAACGAAATTACCAAAGGGTGGTATAGATATGCCTTATGTTTGTGGGTGATAATGCATTCAGTCTCACCAATTATATAGTGAAACCATATTTAAAAAATATGCATCACAAGATAAGTAAAAACGAATTTTCAACTTCCGTCTCAGTAGAGGAAGAAGAACATTCAAAAATGCTTTTGGCATATTATGTCATTGCTTTCGAAGTTTTTTTTTTCACCTATTGCAGTAAGCCCTCGTGTCGTAGACAAGTTGGTTATATCAGCTTGTATCATCCATAATAAGATGGGTTCTTTGTTTATACACGGTTCCGACTGTAATACACTACAAATGCCCGCTGAAAACGTAAATCCTATGGCGCGTATATGAGGAAGAAATTATAATATAAATGGTTCCATAAATATCAGGCTGCGGCCCCTGAGACCGACGAAGCTGTAAGAGCCGTATTGGCTAACAGCACCAACATCATCAAAACCAGACGCCTTTTTTAAACAGTATTTCAACAGTGATAATGGCAAGACAATGAAGTAGATAGAATGAGTTAGTTTAAATCGAACAAGTAATTAAAAATTAATTGTTTTTTTACTATGACACTAAAAAACACTACCAAGTTAATTTGTTACAAACTATATCCAAGTACACAACCTCACTACAACTAAATTATTTCATATGTCACTAAAAATGTTTGCCATTTTTGTAACCTACCTACCAAGCTGCACTAAAAGTATCGGGAATGGAATATTTCCACTGTTCCTGTCATATTAAAATCTTTTTTAATTGAAAACTCCTTGGTTTTAAAAATCGAATAGCATTTATTTATTTAAAAAAGATTCTCGGTCCTGTCACAAGTTTTGTCAAACTTGTTTAGTCGTTGAGAAAATGGAATTGACTCGAGAATATTCAAGAGCGATGATTTATTATGACTTTCGAAATGGTTTAACACAAAAACAGTGTGTTGACCGGATGATTTCTGCATTTGGTGATGAAGCCCCATCCAAAACCACAATTTATCGCTGGTTTGCTGAATTTCAACATGGATGTGTGCTCATTTCAGCTCAGTGATGATCCCCGTCAAGGTCGTCCAAAAACTGCAGTCACCCAAGAAAACGTTGATGCTGTGCGTAAGCTGATTAAGGAAGATCGACATGTGACATACCGCGAAATTCAAGCAACTTTAGACATTGGCATGAGTCAAATACAAATAATCTTGCATGAACAATTAGGTGTAAAAAAGTTGTTTTCCCGATGGATACCGCATTCGCTCTGTGAAGAGCAAAAAGCGGCTTGCGTTACTTGCTGCGTCAGAACTCTCGAAAGATTCCACGCAGGATCTTCAAATGCTGTATACAACATCGTATCAGGTGACGAATCCTGGATATATGTGTACGAACCCGAAACACAAAACGAGTCACGAGTTTGGGTGTTCGAAAATGAGTTAAAGCCAACAAAAATTGTTCGTTCACGGAGCGTTGCAAAAAAAAATGGTGGCCACGTTTGTCACCAAAACCGGCCATGTTACGACTATTCCTCTTAAAGGACAAAGAATCGTATGGAACGCCATCGTATGGAAAAATGTGTCAAATTTCGCGGAGAATATTTCGAAAAGCAATAAATATATTTTTAAATAGTAATGTTGTGTCATTTCCTTGATTCCCGAAAGAGGAATGCCCACTCTTCATAGACATTTCGGCCATGGGTGCCCACATATAAAAGCATATAGATATGATAATATACAATTAAAGGAATGAAATGGTTAAGAAATTGGTTTAAAAAAAGTTGGGAATTTTAAGATATAAAAGTTTTTATTTTCACAAATACAGTTTTTTAACAACTAATTTTACCGATGTTATCGCATTTAATTTCTTTGATTTTTAATTCCCGACTTTCGGGTGCTTTCCAGCACACATGGTCATGGGGGATTGAGGTGACTGGTGTACCGAAATCAGTGTTAACTTGGAGTAACTTCAGCTTTTTAATAACTATTTATGGTCCGATCTACGCAGAATGAACTTACTGTCCTGAAGTATTGCATGGTATGCTTGGGTTTAGTTTTAATTTTATTAATTACAGTGTCCCAAGCAGGTGGAAATACCCAGCTTCATTCTCTATTGAAATTAGAATGTTTGAATATGGGTGCAATACATTACCGACTTCAGATTGCAACGAGGATGAATTAGATGATTCAGATGGTTCCCGTTCTGCAGTTGAATGTGATGCTGCTCTATCAAACCTTCGCCAACAATTATGACACACACGAGATGACAATGGCAACTGAAATAATATTAAATAAAAAAGTGAAAAAGTGAACTAAATAAAAATAAAATAGATTTGTTTCCTTTAAACTCAAATACATATAAAATATTTACTACTTAAATGGTAGTTACTGATTCTACATTCTGGAGGTACATAGTAATTGTATTCACAAAAAGACATACCCGCAATGTTGATGGAACTGTGAGTTGATTGGAATAGTTACAATCAGGAAAAAACATTGATTTTGTGTGAGTGGTGGTCTTACAAAATTAGGCAGCAGTATATTGTACGATGTATGATCTAAGCTTTGTTGTTCTAGGTTCAATATATTACTCACTTTAGATTGCAACGAGGACGGACTAGATGATTCAGATGGTTCCCGTTCTAAAGTTTAACGTGATGCTACTTTATCAGTCCTTTGCCAGCAATCATGACACGCGATGACGATGGCAACTGAAATAATATTAAATAAAAAAAATAAGACAAAGTGAACAAAATAAAATAGATTTGTTTACTTTAAACTCAAAAGGTAAATGTTACTTAAAACTTAATGCCCTATATTTTTAATAATTAAGGACTGTCTGCCTACCAGTAGTACAAAAACAATTAAAAATCGACTTTCTCATTTCTTGGTATTTGATAAAAATTGTCCATTTTGTAACTATCTGGTGTTAGCTAGCTAATCTTATCGCCATGTTATAAATAAGCTATTATGTTTGTCAGATATAGTTTGTGCATATGTTAAAAAATAAAACAACTTCATCATTTCATTCATTCATCACTATCAAATATCAGCACTAGAATTATTAAATTAAAACTGTTAAACACTTACTTTTAACTGTTGTCACACTATAATATGATCGACAATCTCACTTCATATGAGTTCTTGAGAATTTATTTGAAAAATAACAAACAAAATAACACAATTGCGACTATTTATGATTGTGTTGTGTGTATGTGATTTCATTTTCATTCCCAATTCGCATGACATATTTCCTAGCTGTCAGATTTGATGTTGCCACATAACTAACATAAATACACAGTTTAATCTGTGCATAAATACAATGAAACGATATCGATTTTTATTCGATTAGTAATTTAATAAAAAAAGTAATATATGAGGCGCTTTAAGTTCTACACGCTTTTTTAAAATATATTTTCTTTTATTTATTTAAATTCTTTTTTCAATGTATTTTTAAGAACAGTTAAAATGTGGATTAGCGTATTATCATGCTCTAAACAGTTCATGGTGAATCAGCTAAAAATTCACTTCTTTAATTATCATGACATGATTCCATTTTAAATGTATTGTTAAAACAGATAACAATTACTGTTAAATTGTGCAGCAGCATTTTGTTATACTCTAAAGAATTCATAGTAAATCAGCTAGTAATTCGCTTTTTTAATTATCATAACATCATAATATCGATTCGATTATTATTCGATTAATAATTCCATAAAAAGAGAATAATCTTGGAGGTGCTTCTGCTCGCTTTTTAAAATGTATTTTCCTTTATTTATTTAAATTCTATTATAAGCGTATTTTTAAACAATAACAATAAAATAGTAGTAAACCACAGCACTACTCTCCATCCTAATGACGACACTGTCGCGACTGGACGACAACGGCGTAGCTGACCTTCCTTTTTGAAACATTCTTGGAATTGTTTCTTGTTTAATTATCGTAACATCATAATTATTTAAAAATTATATTAGCACTGTAATGATGACACCGTAAATAATCGATCGAAAAAGAGAATCGATTTTTTAAATGTGTTTTGTGATTGGCAACACTTTTTTTTATTCACAAACTAATGACATAATGATTTACCTAATTTTTATTATTATGTTTCCGGTACTTTTAATTTGTGCAAAAATATTCCCATTGTTTGAGGATAAATGAATACCGCGATTAATAACCATAAATAAAGATATAATTTTTTAACAAATTCACATTGTTGGGCGTTCCATGGCCGAAAATGGGCGTCCCCCTTTTTTAGTGCCGCCCTCGTACCACTGATGAATAAAGGAATATAAAAGATACTCACGTGTTTTTTTCAACTTCTCAACTATCTCCCTCCAGCAATTTTCTTTAATTATTAAACTTTTATGATTTTTGTCTTTATTTAAAAAAAATCCATTGTCAACACGTAACGTACACCGCAGCGAATAAACGAGAACGACGCCGTGCAGCGTACAGTACTCGCTCCCTACTTTAGCACGCTTTCCCTTCGCCGCTGACGCATACTGCGAGGGAACAAGAGATCATTCTAGACGTTTTCCATACGATTATACAAATGGGTTGTCGACTTATTTACAGTCGATGAAACAAGACTGTTTATCGTCAACGATAATAATAATAATAATAAAAAATGGCGTAGGGAATTGACGACCCCATTGCCCGCTGACGTAACCGTTATGTGACAGAACTGCTACGTCAACGCAGTCAGTCAGCGCCTTGCGAGAGGTATGAGCGCCATGCCTCGGCAGAATTTAGGGTGCAAAGGCCCGTTTGTGCTCATGGCCCTACACGATACGGTGCCGGGCCTGGGCGTCTCCCGTTAATGGACGTGCAAACCATGGATGATGCAAAAAAAGATAGTATGCAAAGGGCCGCTGCCTGGAGGTCGCCAGGGCGCGTCTGGAGCTGGCGCTGGACGCGACAGCGTGCGACAGTATGGGTGCCACCATCTAGCAGCCCCCTGCATCCATCATCCCCACCAGAAGGCTTGGTGTCGGCTGGGTCTTCTCGGACTCAGCAATCGGCACCCGCCGCTGGTGGAGCACGTCGCATGCGTTGGTCACAATTAATGAACGTAAACGCACTGCGGGCGTACTTTAGTACAGAAGGGGAAGAAACTGGATGTTTGGCGTATCGGGCTCGGATGCATCGCTTTTTTGCAGAGCTGGAGCCATCTCTATCCGTCACTGAGCATAACCTGGCAGACCGAGTTCGGTACATCCTGCGCTCCAATATATTTGGTGACGCCGAACTCGAACAACTACGACGTGAGGCTGTTCTCTCATCGAATGGAAATGCTACGGCTGGGAATGCGGCGCTACTAGATGCGCAGCAAACTGCATATGTGGATGCTGCCATCAATATTCCATTTGTGGTTAATTCAGACAATGATGGAATAGTCTCCCACGAACTAGAGAAAATGAGGAGCATATTGCAAGAGTCGATGCTGGAAACGCGCACCATGCCTCTCGAAAATCGACCGCGACTTCCCCGCATACCCCTTAGCAAGCGAAATTGCTGTCGTGCGGGCTCTTAACCCAATGCTGGTGACCTATTTGGAAGCCACCTTTACGAGACGGACTCAATTCTTTTTGGCGCCGCACTGGCAGTATGCCGTATTATTGGCGCCAAACTTCCCATGGCTGGACGTGCTACTCTATAAAGTAGCGCCATCTCAGCCTGGAGAAAAAGAATCGAGGACCGTATCGCAAAGGCAAGGGCTCTTATCGGCAGACTGACAAGTTTCAGGTCGGGTAATAATAGACCGAGAGTTGTGCGCACCGTTAGAATGGCGTTTGCTGGGACAAATATTAGTTTGTTCCAGCCGGATATCACGCAGGAACTAACGGAGCGCATAGATGACCTGAAGTAAAAAATCGCTGCTTGGGGGAAGCGGATTCGACTCTTAATTAGAATCGTCTCTTCCAGAGTGATCAGAAGAGGCTCTATAAATCATTGGAGCGACGAGAGGTATGTGGAGCGGGCCCAGGACCGGATCAGGCTGACCCTGACGCATTTTGGCCTGTGGTCAGAGCCCGTAAACCACAGCGAGAGCCCTTGGATGGAAGTTGTGGCGAGCCAGAGTGCAAGTGTTACGCCTATGGACCCCGTCACCTTAACGCCTGAAGACGTGGCTGAGGCGGTCCGTAGGGCCCAAACCCTGGAAAAGTCCGGGGCTCGACGGGCTGCATCATTACTGGCTGAAGGGGTTCGTAGTGAGTAACGCTGTGTTCGCCCGACAGTTTCAAGAGGCTCTCGATCAGAAGTCGCTCCCGAGCCTCTTCACTACTGGGATCACTCACTTGGTTCCTAAAGATCAGGATAGGCGGACTCAGACTGAACTTAACGCCCTGGATAGAAAAGTCCGCACTACAATGACGTCCCATAGGATGCATCATCCGAGATCGTCGGTAATGAGGCTGTACTTGCCGCGAAAACATGGTGGGCGTGGCTTTCTGAGCGCGCTCACCATGCATAATCGCGAAGTGTGCAGCTTTCGTGATTACTTCCTGGCTAGCGATGATCCATTCTATAATGACGTCATTTCTAGTGATAAATGGCTTACCCCTATATCTTTAGCCAATGAGCAATGACAGGACCCAGCAGTGCCTAGCATTTCCAACCGGGAGATCGTATGGAAGGAGAAGGAGCTCCACGGGAGGTACTACAGGGCTCTACATGAGCCCTTCGTAGATACAGTCGCCTCCCTCAACTGGCTACGTTTCGGTGACCTCTTCGGGGGAAACCGAGGGTTTTGTCTGTGCAATACAGGATTAGGTTATTAAAACCAACAACTATCGAAGACACATCCTAAAGAATGGCACCATCGACATTTGTCGAGCTTATCGCCATCCCGGTGAGTCACTTAGGCATGTCATCTCCGGTTGTTCGGTGCTTTCTAACTCTGAGTACTTGCACAGCACAACCTAGTAGCCAGAATTCTACACCAGGATCTTGCTCTGCAATACGATCTCGTGGACCGGAAAGTGCCGTATTACAAGTACTTGCCGGAAGCCGTGTTCGAAAATGACCGCGCCAGGCTCTACTGGGACCGAGCTATCATCACACACAGGACTATTCCTGCGAATAAGCCTGATGTTGTGCTGATGGATCGGGCACAGTCAAGGATATTTTTGGTCGACATTAACCATTCCGTATGACGAGAGCATCGTGAAAGATGAAACAGATAAGCAATCAAAATATCTGGACCTGGCTCACGAGGTGACCGACATGTGGGGTGGTCTGCAGACCGAATTTATTTCTGTAGTCGTGTCTGCAAACGGGTTAATCCCAGCTAGCCTCTCGGGCCATCTGAGGCGACTGGGACTCCGTGACGGACCGCTCCGGGCTCAAATGCAGAAGGCAGTGCTCCTCGATACCGCACGCATCGTCCGCCGGTTTCTTTCCCTTTCCCCCTAACCCTCGGCCGTTTGGTTTCCCCAGCCAAGGGCTTCCATCTGGTTGGGCTTTTATTTATTTATGTATTATTTATTTATTTCTGTTAGTATATTAATTATATATTTAAGTATATTTATTTTTCCTTTTATATATTTATCCAGCCCAACCAGATGTAATTACTCTATCAATAACCCATAATAATAATAATAATATGTCCTCCAGACCGAATTTCAGCCACGGCGGCCTGCCTCAACGGAGGCTAGCCATCGGCGCAGGACAGGATTATAGTGCCCAAGTGTATGCGTAAGCACAGGTGCACTGTCTATTCTCTCACTCTCATAATCCGATGGGACGGTAAACCGACACGACCGGAGAGAGATCAGGCGCAGGACCAACGGCTTTACGTGCTTTCCGAGGCACGGGGGTGAGACACCGCCAACTTCCTGACTCCGGGCAACTACTGAAAATTTCTTGACGGAAAAACTCAATAATTAATTTTTTGGCCCGAACCCAGGACCTCATGATCAGCAGTCACACTACTACAACCACTAGACCAACGAGGCAGTCAACGATAAACTAGTTTATGACAGTTCTTTTAAGACCTCAAATAATAAAAATCTACAGTCTCCAACCAGCCTGCCAAGCGTCGCAACTATGCGAAATATATGCAATCTTTGGCAGAGGCCTATACGTTTGACACTTTTGATAGGCCGTAATAATGATGATGATAACTTTTGTAGAGGTATGGGTGACAAACGAGCATACAATCAAACGAATGTTAAGAGAATGCTTCAGCCTATAGACACATACATCTTTTAAGAATCAACAAAGAAGTTAAGAATCAACAAAGAAGAACGACATCGCATATGCTTTATATGCTGCATAATACGCGTATATTAGTAGTATTACTGATATGTAAATTTCCCCATTACATTCGATTTGAATTTATGCAGGGTATTTTTCATTTATTCTCTGAAAACAAATACATAAAAAGAATCATATCAATATATCTAGAAGCACCCTCTTGGATCGAACGTAGTTAAGTAAGTAGAAAAAAAGCGAGGGTACAGAGGAAGGGATGTCACTGGCAGCTCAACTGGCTATCGAGTGTATTGAATGATATTCAGCGTTATACCTTTAACTAGTTTTACTAGTTGCGCAGCAACTATCATAAATTTGTTTCTGTCAGCGCAATTTCTTGTGCAAAAAATTTGATCGTGAAACCGATGATAAGTGTGGTAACCTCCCTAAATACATTTAGTTGGCAATGCGACCTAATTAAACCTTCAAAATATTACATTTTATTGAATGTATGAATTCACGCTTACAGTACATGGTTATTGGCCCGCTTGCAGAACCTGGATTCGATTCCACATATATGCAAGAACAAGAAATTGTTTAATAGGTTTTAAAAAAAAGTCCCCAGGTACCCGAGAAGCGTGCGTTGTACACGAAGATAGATTAGTTCGTGAGGACCACTGCGTTTCCGCATGTAATTAGTAACATTATCCTACGTCCCACAGCTGGGCACAGACCTCCTCTCATTTCAGAGAGTTACGTATCATTACGTCATCAGCGTTGTTATGTTCGTGTTAGAGGCCTTAGCACGCCTTCGAAATATTTTATTTACCTTTTCTTCATTGCCATGTACGTGGTTACTTAAAACTGCAATATATTTGGTACCAGCGGCGATCAAGCTCGTTTTATTATTGTTATATACTGTACACTGTTATATTTATATTGTTGCGTGAATAAGTCAACGTACATAGATGGCGCTATGTATCACTAGCGCCATCTAGTGTCAGGAACGAGAGCGAGGGGAGCTTTGCAGAAAATGACATCACAAATCTTTCAACCGACAGCGCCATCCGAAGAACTAAGTTTCTAGAAAATCTACACTCGAACACTCGTCGCTCTGCGCGCATTTACTTGAATATTCCGGATGCTTCATTGCTAATTTGTATATATAGGCGCTGCAAGATGCGATCGGGGCAGTATTAGATTTGGCGAGACAAGCGAAGCTTCTGAGCGGAATAAAGTGAATAAGTGTGTTTAATTATTAGTGTTTTAAGTTTTAATTTGTGTAAAGTAAATTAAAGTGTTAATTTAGGTAATTTTATCGGCAATTTTTATTGTCACGAACCTCAAGCTCGTAACAATATTCTCCTGGGTAGTTGGTCAACACCGACAGCATCTCAGCATTGAAAGTTCATAAAATCGACCTCGCAAGTAGCCGGATATTGTCATGTTATGCCATGCCAACATGTCTTAATAACATAAAAATTATTGTTGAAATCAAAAACTATAACAATAATATAACGTTTAAAATATAACGTTCAGTACTTTAGAATACTATTACGCTTCATAAATAGTATCGTATTGAAAACCGTTCATAGATAGTCAATAACCGACAAAACGGGTGGATAATAATAATCATTTCCTTTATGTTGAATAGTTAGATAAAATACCTTTAGCAATCCAATATCGCTTCGATTTTGTATTTTGATATTATATTGTTGAGAACTTTCTGGCGATACCTAGGGTAAGCGCGCACTGGCGGCCAGGTAACAGCGGCCAGGTCGCGACGGCCACAGAAATACATAACATACATAATACATAAACACTCACGCCTGTCACCCAGAGGGGTAGGCAGAGACTACAGACTTCCATTTGGCACGATCCTGACACACCTCTCTCGCCTCCTTCACATCCATACACCTACGCATACATGCTCGTCGGTTGAGGGTACTCCTAATTTGGCCCGTTTTCAATAAATCGCCAATTTGGTCGATAAATTTTTGCCTAGGAGGTCCCTTTCCGGCTCTGCCATTCACTTCTGCAACATAAATTTTCTTTGTCACTCTTTCCTCATTCATTCTTTCCACATAACCAAACCACCGAAGCATTCCTTTCTTAATCCTGGTCACATCATCATCTTGCAAACCACACTCTTCTCTTATTACACAATTTCTTACCCTGTCGTTCAGATTCAGCCCTAACATAATCCTTAAGGACCGCATTTCTACTGCGTTGATTCTACTCTCGTGCTTCTTCTGCCACACCCAACTTTCACTACCATACGTTAAAGTAGAGACCAACACAGCATTTTGAATTGCCATACGTGCTTTTTTTGACACA